CGGATGAGGCTGAGGAGCCAAAGAAGGCAGCTGAGACTGCTGAGGTGAATGCTGAGGCCATCCATCCATGCTGTATGTAGACACTAATGAGGTTACCAGGTGACAGGTGACCAGGAATAACTCTGTGTGTGTGTTGATGTTGATGCTGATGCCCTGATGTAGTTTTTGTTAAAGCTGTCTCAGAGACTTGAATCCAAGTCTTGGCAGGGCAACAACGGCTCTAATGCTGTAGATGCCATCGCAACTCAAGACTCAAGATACATGTTTTGAAGCCATTTGAGGCATCCATCATCCATCAAATATAATCAAATGTTCAATGTTGGTTTGTTGTTAGTCGATGGGCAGAAAAGAGCTCCTATGCAGTTGGGCTTACCTGATGTACTTTGTTAATGCCACCTCAGAAGCATGAGTCGTGAGTCCAAGTCTTGGCAGGGCACCGGTACCGGCAAGTCTGAATAAGTTACTAAGTTCCGGCCGCTGATGCCAAGGAGGCAATCATCATATGTTTGTAATGGTTGCATCCGTCAAATATTGTCAATGTCCCCAAGGGCTGCTGCTGAACCTATGATCGGAGCTTGGGGTTTAGGACCTTTCAAGGCAACCCTTGTGAGTCCCGAGTTGAATGTAAGAGTGTTGTAGACTTAGTTATCCTGTAACTAACTGGCCCTAAACCTATGCTTTAGTACTTTAGGGTTTCGGACAGTTTAGTCCACCACCACCGCCACCACCACCACTACTACTACTACCGCTGCTCCCGCAACTCGGCCGGCAACAACAACAACTACAACTACAACTACTACTACTACTACTACTACTACTACTACTACTACTACTACTACTACTACTACTACTACTACTACTACTACTAAGTAACTACTACCAATACTAATACTAATACCAATACTACCACCACCACCATTCTGGACAATGGTGATGACTGACCGTGCTCGGCAAAGAGCGTTTTGGGACCTTGGGCGCCGACGATCTGGAATATCATCCGCTGACCGGATTCACTTGACTTTGACACGCTTTCGCAATCCGGATGAGGATGAGGATTAGGAGGTATAGGAGGATTAGGAGGACACCATGAGGTTGGCAGCATGGCTCATACAGGGTCGATCGCTAACAAGCGTCCTGCGATTCGTAGCCCGGGCCTAGAGACTAAATTATGATCCTAAGCCCCTTGTGCTTACTATCTGCCTGTCCGCGGACACATGGACAAGTGAACTTGGGACATATGGACCCAAGCGCCAAGCAGAAGTTATAATTGACCATATTCTATCGGGCTTAGGGTTAGGGTTTAGGCTTAGGACGTTTTAGTCTAGGGAAACCCTCCCGCGTGAGTCAGTGGCATGTGATTGACAAGGATTTGCGTGACTAAGTTATTCTAAACTTCTAAACCTGTAACCTGGCCCCAAACCAGATTGCTTTGGTGTAGGGCTTTTGGACGTTCTAGTCACGCCTACAAAATCCCTGTAGAGGATGTAATTGGATAAAGATTTCTCACTACTACTATATATATATATAACTACTTTAAACCTAAAACCCGTAAAGCCTAAACTAGCCGACAGCCGACCCCTAAAATTTTGATGGGCTTAGGAACTTAGGACTCCGGAAGCCATCCCAACTAGAGAAACCATCCCAACTCCCAACTAAAGAACATCACAATATTCAATTGACCTGGGTTCTTTGAGTTAGCTAGCCGAGAGTCAAGGGAGTCAATGTCAATGTTCAAACTCAAGCTTCCCCTTTGAATCATTGTAATGGTTCGCAGGGCCAACATTGGTACTAGGCTATAACTATGATTGATTGTTGAAACTTGAAACTCGTTGAGACATAGACTCCGTCAGACTCAGACAACGACGACGGCGCGGCCACACAGGCTGTGTCAAAAGAAGACACCGAAGTCGCCAAAGCGGTTGAGGCCAAGGAGGAGGCCAGACAAGTCAGACAAGTAACCAGGTTTGTTGACGATTCACAATGATCATCATCCCGGACATACCTGACCCCCTTTGCTTCTGTGCTTCTGCTTGTACATGCTTGTACCACCTAAAAACGGAGCCAAGTCACGGAGTTGTACCAACTCTGGGGTGGGGTATAGGTGAGTTTGTCGGGTGACAAGTGAAAACCGCCGGATGTTGAGGGATGGAAGCAACGATGCGATCGGACCGTTTGCTTCGTGTTTCGAGGGGGGTGGTTGAAGGACAGGGACTCAGGAGACTCTGGTACTAGTTTTTAATTGAATTGTTTGAAGCTTGGTCCACAGGTCGCAAAGCCAGAAGTGGCCCCAACTGCAAAGGTGAAGGCGAAGGCCAAGAGCCGGGCAAAGGGTGGCCAAGATGGTCATGAGACAAATAAAAGACAAAAGACCGAGGAGAAGGCGGACAAGGACAAGGCCACCAGAAAAAGAAAAAATGAAGCGATGGAAGAGGCTGGGCTCAGTTTCAGACGTCCTTAATAGTCACCGACAAACTTCCTGGGAATGTTCACCACTCTCACTCTCTCAAGTAGCCTAGTCGACCAAATGTCCACCACTCGCTCGGCAGTCTTCGGCGACCAAACCCATTCTTTTTGCAACATCAACATTGGTCATTGGCAGGATCCAAAGAAGGACAGGAAAGGTCAAGGTCGCCGCAAGTGAGAGCCACATTTTTGTTGGCCACGGGATGAAACAGGGGTCTCCTGTGACCACACTCGGAGCACGGACCAGTCCGTGAGCGAGGAAAAAAGGTGATGGCGAATGGATTGGCGGTTTAACCAGAGCTTTTACAGCTGCATGATTTGGGGGGTATCCAACATGGCGTTGGACCAGGAAGAAAGGCGTTATGGTATTACTTATATGGTAATATAATGTAATATCGTCCTCATATCCCATCTATTAGGACCTTTCTGTAGGTCCAGCTACTTGGTATTTCCTTTGTGTGGGCAAAGATGCTGCACATGTCCTGTGTGTTTTTTCCACCCTTGTTTTCTCAATGTTTTGGCAGTTTCCGGCTGAATCCACGACATTTAAATTCATTCGTGAAATTTAGCACCGTTAAGACGGAAGCACGGCAGTCAACGGGTTCCACTGGTGGACTCCAAAGCACTCCAATATGTTCCAAGCGTGCGCCCCTGTTTCAGGAAGCCGAGCTTCAAATGGTGCCAGCTGTTTCTTTCTAGGCCTTCGATGTCCTCGAAAAGCCTCCAGCGATGTACAGATTCGTGTTTTCACCCACCCTCAGTGATTTTAGTACCTAGATCATTACGGAGTTTCCACGTGAGCTCAGCAACTGACCTTCCGAGTACTCAAGTACATCATTTCAAGGCTTTGGAAAAAGTACAGTATATCAACTGAAGGTCTCTCACCCTCATCTCTCCAAGTTGTCTCTCCCAGCCTTCGTGCCAATCGCCTAGAGTGTTCTGCACTTTGCTCATCCCGGAGACGGGGTTTCAGCAAGACTCGCTGATGGCAACTCCTGCAAGTCCGACAGGGATGAGCTGCAGAAAGGTCCCACGCTGGTCTTGTTGAGAAATATCACAAAGACACAAAAAGGAAAAGGGAAAAACCATCAAGGAAGTAAAGGTCTAAAGAAAGAACGAAAGAAAGAAACACCAAACATTTGAGGAACCGCCAAGAACCACTTTTCAAACGATTCCAACCAAATGGTTGGAGTCTTGGTGTTTGATGAATTGAATGTACATGCTGCAAAAAATCACCAATCATGAACACAAAAGGAGACACATCTTGTGATCTATGACATGCCGCTGCTTCGTCGTCGACGGCTGATCTTCGACGCACACAGCCCAAGAAAAAGACCTAATCTTAGGATGCGATATGAGGCAACCACCTGCTTCCCCCAAGACACACACTGCGGCTCGCAGCGCTGGATCGATCCGTGCGTTCGGTTCAGCCGTCCTTGACAACAGCCGTCCTTCATGAAAGCCGCTCGCCCAGGCATGACCTCCCAGGTGGGGGGAAGGATCAGGATCAGCTTTGGCATGCTTTTGGGCTGTGGAATGAGAGGCATTCTTGAGTTGTACCCCCATCTAAAGTAGGCATCCAACAGTGCCGAACGGCGAGAGTGGAGCCTTTAACTTGCGGCGAATCAACAGCACGATCGCCTGTTAACATCAGTTAATGCATGCAAAAAGCTTTCAGCACCTGCTTTAGGGCTAGGGATGAAGTTCTCAAAATCGTTGTTTCTAGACCAAGCAGCTTGTCGTGCTGGACCTCTCAGGTTTGATAAGAAAAGGACGGATCCAACGTTTGGACCTGTAGCCACCTTTCCGTTGCCACCATCCTCATGGGTGATACCAGAATCTGGGGGTCACCGTAACAAGTGTCCCCGCACCATCACAGCTGCTTCAGTGCGGAGCGCCTTCATCCAAATGCACGATAGCGGGTGATCGTTGTGTTGCCTGGCCATGTTGGGCCATGATTCGGAGAAGGATGAATAACAAGGGCACTCCCCCTGAAACATGGGGAAGTGCAAAACACGCCCCTGGGACAGTGCAAGAGCCGATATGGAACATCTGGAACATTCATGAATTCTCCCACGCTATGTCGATGCTGGCACCCTGGAATCCTCCAGCCCATCAATGGCAAGCTGGGATGTTGAGACTAGTGACTACTGCACAACTTCTGACAGCACCCACTCCCCCCTGCCGCCTCACTCAAGGCAACGAAAATCCAAAGCCTCGGAGAAAGGGAGGACGGTCTCATGTGTGTTGTACTGGTATTGTATACTCAAGTTCTATACACTGGAGAACCGATCACTAAGGCTATGAATACCAAAGTTTGACCACTGACCTGATGGCTGGAAAGCGAACACAACATAGTATAACATATAGTCATATAGGGACTACTGCTTGCTGGCGTGGAGGGATCGTTTTCTGGCATGTTCGTGTGACAGAGTGTGGGTCAAAACTCTGAGAACGTGGTGAACATGGACCGATTGTGGACGACTTCCATTCAATGCAAAAAAGACCAGGGTACCTTCGATGTTTGACAGGCCACTGGCCATGGAGGACCTCTCTAGAAGATGGGAATCAAGGGACCCCAACAAACCCAACACGTCATGCGGATTGCAAGTCCCGCACAAAGAGGCCACACGCACAGGCCCCACCAGGTGAGAGCCAGGCAGCAATGCTAACATGGCACCATGTCCATCAACCCTGAAGGATCCAGAGCCACAGCTGACATGAACCAAGGAAGCTGGTCAGTGAGCCAAAATCTCCTGCTAGACGGCTTGATAGAAAGGCGAACCAGAGGGCTTGCTAGACGGCATGCGAACGACGGTTAGGCTAGACCAGGATGTGCCCCCAAATGAACCACATCTGAGCCCACATGAACCGAAGAATGGATCGCTTGACGCCTGCATCCGAAGCCATCCTTTACACGGTGGAGTTCCTTGATCTGGTGAGGGTTCCTTGCTCAATAAGGGATGGACAAATTGTTGAATCCCTTTCTGATACACTCACCCGTCGAACTCCAGCTGCTGATGTACCTGGCTGTAGTCCTCTGTGGCTCTGGAAGCTAAGCAGCGAAGTTCCCTTCGGGAACTCGCTCAGATGGAACGAGCGAAGCCGCTCGTCGGTCACACGGACGTGCGTCGGGCTGCTTGATCGTTTGCTTCATGTTCACGTGGTCTCCACAAAACATCTTTCTAGAGGCGAGTGTTGTCATGTTTTCACCACCTTCACCACCACAATGATATTCGTTGAGATCTCTTGCAGCTTGGCTTCAAACTTCGGCTGTAACGGGTCATATGGCCTTTGGGTGGAAGCGACATGAAGCGACACCTTCTTTGTCACTCTGGATTCCCAGCATCGGACCAGCCCGGGCGCCCTGTCTTCCCGTCGATGCGGGGACTTCTACGCTGAAGCGAAAGGCATCGGATCGAGGCCAGGTGAGCTTGGTGCCCTGTACTTTGGAGTAGACCGGGGATGCCGGGAAAACCTGTCCACTCATGGCAACAATGGCCATGGTGGCTCAAAACGATGCAACCGCAACATCTTTCTTCCAGAGCGCCTCAAGTCTATCTATAACAAAGATAACAAAGCGAGGCTGCCTTTATTCGGTCACTATCACTATGCTATATACTAACTTTCTCCACAGTCTTACTGTTTGAAGAAACATCTGAAGTGAAGCGAGGAATGAAGCGATTTCAGTGTGGGGGGGATTGCACAAATACCCCTCGATCCCCCAACGCACCATTGAGGTTTGTGTCATTGCTTTGAAATCACTGCACGTTCATGTCAGATATCTTGACAAAACCATCCAAAGCTCCCCAAATCATGCCAGGGTCAAGATATGGTTGAACTCTGAGGTGAGGGTGATTGAGGGTGCGTCAAACTATATGAGGGCAATAATAGGAGAGGTGACAACTTCACATCTTGATATCCTGGTTGTGCATGTACCCTCCATCAGGCTAGTCTAAGGAAAAATAGTCTTGGAAAAATTCGTCCATGTTTTCGTTGGTCTCCTCGTGAAATGCTTGCTGAAGCCTTCTCCTCTCCTCGCCCATCCAGCTGAGGCGAACTGGGTGTTCCCCTCTGCGAAGCAATGGAGGTGGGTGTTCCTGGCGGGTCGGCAACCGTGCGCGGCTTGGGACCGTTGGACCTACGGATGGGGACCTGCTGGATTTAGCTCCCCACGCATGGTGGGCTTTAAACCATTCACCGACGAAGCGCTTCGTTCGGCCTCACCTGAAGCTTTCAGCATTGCTATGACGACGAGACGGCCGCTCCTGCACCTAGAAGGACCGGGTTGGGCGCGGCCCATTGCCTGGCAAGTGCATGATCAAAGATATCACAAGTATAGACTCGACATTATATATATAATACATATGTTTTTACATCCTTTTACAATATACAGCCAGTAGACGACAGCCACAGGCATGTATTAGGTACCATGATTCTCCAGAGAGATCTTAGGGATTGAACAGATCTGGAGTTTCAATGAATCCCTGTTGAAAGAACATGGTGCACATTGGAAAACCAAGACAAGAATCATCAAGAATCATGTTCATGCTATTGAATCAGAATGATCATAATACTGCGAGCTGCGAGAGCTGTTGTTTCAGCGTTTTCAGCTTACACAGCTCCGGTCGCCGATCTTTGGACGCCTCAACGGTAGTGGAGGAGGCACTGGCAAGCCAGGCGTACCGCCTCACAATTAGTAGCGCGGCAACACAGAGGTCATCTATGGTCATCTCTATATAATGTAGGGTAAAAATGGGAGGGCGCATGTCTCAACAAAAGACAACAACATGCCAACATGCAACATTGTGTGGAAAAAATATGACAAATTGATAGCAATCAAACCTGCAGATTTTGCGACTATGCTGATTCTTGTGGATACATATGTACCCAATGCAACAACTTGGATCTTAAGAGAGCCCGCGCACCTGAAACGGGTACCTGTCCATTGGGCTAGTCTGTCCCACCATTTTTAACCACAGTTTACATCCAGCAGCCGTGCGCCTCCAGCTGCTCCATCTGACACAGGCCTTGGTGGGGAAAGCGGGCGCTTTCAACTGCATCCGAAGTTGACCACACCAGCCATCTGGAACCATCTGCGACCGCCAGTGCTGCACTACTCAGTGCTGTCTTCCAAGTGCCACCAGCCTGGTACCCGGAAGACCCCATCACTTATGCTTTCGTATGCTCAACAGTCACCGCGTCCATCTGAGTGATCCGGGAACAAAAACACAGACGGCCTAACTAACATATAAACATTGCTTCATAGAAACAATTTGATCACAACCTTTCATAGGAACAACAAGGTCACAACCTAAAAGTCGAAGCTAAAAGAGTTAAGATCTCCAGTCTCCAGATTCACTCGCTACCACATCAGAGTTGGTGGGAGGCTGCATCTTCTCTCATATCCATGACAAACAACAGAAGAGTTCTCCAGGAAGAAATTCTGCATATTTAACATATTTCTTAACATTTCTTCATTCACTTCACTACGTCTCTGTTGGGGCCCCCTCCAGCGAACTCCTGTCCTGTCCGCTGTGTTTCGGAAGGCTTCATGTCGCCTGGTGGAAGGCTTTGGTGATGGGCATCCATAAGCCACTAATTGTTGGGCCTGACCAGGACGAAACGTTCATCGCCACATGCGTCCCAATCAAATCCCATCGGCCCATGGCAAAAGGATGGCTTTAACGAGATTCGTTTCTATAGCTTCTATAATGCTCTGCATCTTCTTCTTTCCCCCATCATCCTCTCATCTCCCAGTCACCGGCCTGCCCACTATGCATTCGCCCCACTGGCGCGGGCGATGCTGCTGGCACCCGCGCCGACGTGTGCGGCTGCGGGGGCGCTGGCACGGCCGCCGGCGCTGGCCGTTGGGGCGACGGCGGCTGTGGCGAGGGCGGCTGTGGCGATGGTGGCTGCGTGGCCGGTGGCTCGGGTGACCTCAAGAGAGGGTGGCTTGGAAGAGATCCAACTGAACACAGTTGCTGTGCTCTGAACTTGGACGTTTTTCTGACATGGTGGCTTCTAATGCCTTAACTTGATGGCCATCACTCTTTGGGCGTCTCAGCTCCGTCTCTCGGCCTCCCGGACGGAGGTAGCTCCTCCGTCTTGCTGGGTCGGACACCCTTGGGGCGAGAAAGACCTCGGTGCCCGAGGTCCGCCGCCGTTGACGCCGACGCCGTGTCGTTTGGAGAGTTTAGAGTATCTTATGTACCACGTAGAGCTGTTTTTTTTGGGGGGTGATGAGGCGAAAATCCAAATGACTGATGAAGCAATTGGATGAACTTAGAGTGAAGGGTAGACCCAGTGATCTTGTTAAGACATAGGCGACGACAAGGCTATTTGACAATGATCCAAACCAGCAAAAGCAAGTTTCGTATGATAGAGATCGAGCAATTCCATTCGTCTCCCCTCATTCCCCGCTCACGTGCATCCCGGGACCCACGCCTAGCTTCACTTGAATGTTCCTGAGCCACGTTCCCACAAGGGAAATGTCAAAGACAAACTTCTAGATAAGGCTCTATCACCAACAAATCTCCAAACTGGAATAATCACCACTCCAAGCCCTTCTGACCCCATCAGTGCACCGAAGAAAAACTCAGAATCAAATGTCTGGGGATGTGCATGAGTAAACCCCGCTCATCATTTTGTCTTGATCACGAATCACGAGTCATAATCGAGCAAAGTGAGTGGACACCGACAGGGCGAAGAACATGTTGTTTAAGAACCAAATAGAACCAGCGAGGTTTTGACAGCCCATTAGGTTGGAGGCCATCGCTAGTAGGTTGGAGGCCATCATTGGCAGCCCACCAACGCGGCCAAAGGGTCTTCTTGTAGCGAGCCATCAGGTCTTGAGGAACTTCTCGGCCATCCTGGTGCACTAGTGTCACTAGTGTCGGCTGTGCTGGGGGAAAGCCCAACCTGGTGAGCATGGACACAAGTGGGGACTCAAGATGTCCGGTTGCTTGACTTTCAACACTTGGAGCTTCAAAGTACTTCTGCACTCCACTGACTAATTGCTTACAGGTTTGAATACTAGGAGGTCATCATGCCACGGAACTATCCCACCACGCCTTCACATACCCAGCCGCCTTTTCGCGAACCAGCGCCTGTTCCTGCATCACTCGGCTTTTAGGTTTGGAATCTAGATCCACGTGGTGAATGAGACTTCCATTTCAAAGAATCCAAGATGCAAAATCACTACCCGCCCACGCGGGATGAGATGTCTTCAGTTCGCGAAGAAGTTCTCGTCAGGCTGAAGCGAAAAGGTCTTGCAAAGCCTTGTCGAAGGGATTTCGGATTCCTCCACCCAAAATTCACTAGAGCCATGCCATCGGCTAAGTGTTATGCAGCACCTTCATGCAATAGGACCTGGAACCAACAAGTATCATGAAGTATCTTGGAAGGCTCCGCACGAACACTGCAACCTGGACATACACCATTTAATTCGCTTTCTTCGAATTTTACAGCTGTCCATCCGCTTCCAGGGGTCATGGTGGCCCGGCCATCGAACGACCGCTTTGGTGGGTTTCTGCTTGACGCACGGCTGGTCCCGCCTTCGCCACCTTCATGGCCTCCAGACGATTGTAGACCTGAGAAGGCTCAAGCCGAGGGTCTCGGCTCCCCTAACTCGTCCCCTGAGGGATGGCACAAGACATGAACTCAGAAAGCAGGT